TTCTGTTTATGTTTTTGAAAATGACCGGTTAAAGGTCGAAATATCAACAAATAAAGGTATGAAGTTCAAAACAGCTGCAAATATTATCATATTTTTGACTCGAAAGTCGTTGCCCTCGTACAGAGATGCATCATCATATTTCATGTTTTTTCATCCGTATTAGACCAAGCGAACACACACTTGTGTGGTGTGGCGTTCGCGAAGACCTCAGTGGTCTTTATCCAAAGGACAAAGAATTCGCGTGGTGGGCGTTCAGCTCTTGTACCGCTTCGATGAGCGTTCTTGAAGCTCCAAATTATTTGGGAAAAACAGGCACAGGAACAATGTTTTCTATTCAAACCAGCAGTGGAAAGGATATACGTGCACATTCATATTTTAACAATGAAGATGAAATTCTCCTTCCACCCGGTATTTATCTCAAAGTAATTGACAGCGTAAGTCAACCTGGTGGCCTGCGCATAATTCATCTTCGAGAAATTCCACCACCATTTAAAATGCTTGACGATCCTTTTGATCTTAGCCAATTGAAAACGACGCCGCCAGAATCCAAACCATTATTAAACATATTCAAAGCTCCAACAGAGCAAGAAAAATATGCATCGACAAATGTCACAACAAAATCACCTGTACAAGCATCTTCAAAACAAGGCAAGTTAGATGGCATGATTTTCGCAGTTGTGACTTTCACATTGGACTTTCAGCAATCGCCAAAAGTTGTGTTTTTGTGAGCAGTCATCCTATTTCGCGATGTTGCACATTGCAGAATCGACTCCGCCCCAGGAATCAATTCCATCGATTCCGCAGAATTCCGTCTAATTCCGCAATCGCAACTTCTATTACCATCCAATGATCTCCCATCGATTCAACGATGATCGGATTCCGCTCAGCTATTTCGGTGACCGGTGAACGATTCTGCTCAGCGGTTCCCGAAATCGCTCGGTGGAATCCGACGGAATTCCATGAAATTCCTTGGAATTCCGTGCATATTCGTACGGATTGCCGATACCAATGTTCCACTCACTGTATCTTTAGTTCTTCAAGTCCAATTATATAGAGATATTCATGGATTCACAAAGCCCATCCTATGCGGATATCGGTAGATCCTCATGGGCTACCTCATGGGGGTACACACAGGTTCTCCAGGGCTATCCTATGGGTTAATGATAGGTTCTTCAGAACTAGTCTATAGAGAAACTCAATAGACTATGAGGACTCCTATATGTTGGAACCTGAGCACCTATGCCTACTTCATAGGAACTCCACAGCATGACTCTGGAGGATCTATGAGTAAAACATAGGATGGCCCTTGAGGACCTATGGGTACCCCGATACAGTAGCCCCTGAGGATTCAAGGACACTCTTATGAGATAGCCTTGAGGATCTATGAATATTTCTATATAATTGAACTTGAGGGCCTAAAGCTAATTCTGCATGATAGGCCTTAAAGACCTATGTGAACCCGAATGTAATTACGTTTGGGAACCTATAAGTACGCCTATATATTAGAACTTGAGGGTCTAAGAGTATCTCGAAAATATACGACCTGAGGACTTCAGGATACATCGAGACTATAGGACTTGAAAACCTAGGATACCCGCAAAGTATCGGATTGGAAACCTATGAGTACCTCTATATAACAGTACTTGAGGACTTAAGGGTACCTGCAGAATATAGGACTTGAGAGCCTAAGGGCATCTCCAGAATACAGGACTTGATGATCTAGCATACCACCAAAAATATAGGACTTGAGGACCTGAGGTACCTTCAAAATATAGGACTTGAGAATCCAAAACTACAGTCAGTGGATCATTCGTATCCGCGATCCACACGATCGCACGACCAACTGTACAATCTGTAGCATCCGGCGATCTGAGAATCCACTTTTTCCCCGTTGATTATAAATCACATCATTTCAGAAAGATCTAAAGACAGGCAGTATTTCCATACATACATCCTGATTCGAAATTTTAAGGGAAATTGACTTTGTTTTTAAGAGGATAGGTCTTAATCTCATGAGTTCTGTCATGTAGATTTTGTATATTCATCATTCAATGAAATTTTATCTTTTTAATCTACACATATTCTCTGGATTGTAATCGTATCGTATGTATCGCCACCGTATCGCCGGTACACGCAATCCACTTTTCCTCCTTGGTTATAACACTCGCTCGAGTTATTTCATTTTTGAGAGATAGCTAATATTCCCTTTTCTGAAAGAAAGGGTCTTGCAAACAGAAAATGTTTGTATGTCTGTCCAACCAATCAGGAAGCGGCATTTCTGAATAAGCGTGGGACGGTAGATTTTCGCTACAAAACTGATTGGGGATAGGTAATCAAGCCTCGGGAATCCAAATCTGAGCGCAATTCCACTCGAAACTCTATTGGTCAACTAGAAACCAATGAAAGTCGAGTTTTCGAAAAAGTAGTACCTCATACGTAGTTTGATATGGGGAGTTCGAATTAGTATAGAGCAAGCATCTTCAGCCTGTGACTTGTGGTAACTCCATCATTCACGCGGAGGGTCTCAAAGATGAGACAGGGTGTCGGTGTCGGAGTTGATTCTACGATACGAATCATATTAATTTCATCTCAGTCAAATCAGTATTGGTCATCGTCCACGCAGACAGTCTTATCCCAATCATACGTCACTCATCACTCTGCGCGAGTGTGTGGCATCAGTATAAACTGTCTATCGAAGACACACGACGAGGAGCCTACTTGGCTGATTTTGGTTACACACTACATCTGCGCAACAATCATAACGTTAAGAAACTGTGATCGAAGATATCGGATAGAGAATGCATGCATTTTACGAAGTCGATATGTTTGCTCAGTTAATTCAATATGAAGAAGTATCTCCAGTGACAGTGAAGTAGAAGGATAGGAAAAGATTATGCACCACAATCGCTGTCAAAGACTCTTCATGAAATACCATCAGAACGCTAAGCACGGTTTAGTATTGCAATAGGTCGTCAGTTCTGCAAGATCATACCATAGGATCAAGACGTTGAATGGAAACGATGCATTTAGTTGCCGTGTTCTTAGTAGCGAGATAGCACACTATGAAGCGTTAACTGAGTGCTCAGCATTGATAGAGATCGATATATGAGAACCATAGTCTAATGAATGAATGTCTGTAATGATGAAAATCAAAGAATACCACTGAATTACTTTTCAGAATCATCGTGTTCATAGAGATGCATAAGTAACTCAATTACTTGCCCGTCTCTCATATATCTTAGTGGTATGTGGATGAGGTAGAGGATGGAACTGAGAAGAAGGACAACGAAAGGTATCTACACAGTGTTAGCATTTTGATCATCCCTCTGCTATATTGACATCATTACATGTAGCTATCTAAACCCTCCTTGATTCACAACACAGGCTCGTTTACAAGAAGTTCAGTCTTATCGCGAAGTCTCGTAGTATCTGGCTCTACGCCCTTGGTGTTAAAATGGTGTTTAATGAAGTATATCTGTCGCACAATGTTTTGCCTGAAGTGGTATTTTCAGAGCACGCTAATGAAAGATTTGTACTCTTCTTTTAGTGTTAGTATGAGGTACTTCTCTGAAGGACAATTTGAGATAAACGAGAGGCATTGTGTAGCTAGCGGAGAGTCGGGAGTGGCGCCCCTCCCGACTCTAAAGTGAAATTTACACTTTATACAAGTGGAAATATAATCTACGATTTCACGAAACTGAATCAGAAAGTCACTATGATGGATAACTACACAGAGGATTCACAAAGTCTAATCAAATTCAAACAAACATCATTTTGAAGGGCAACGTTATGTATGCCAGTTTCAGATCAGTTGTCAAGACAGTCTTCTGCTATTTGCTTCCTCATAATTCAATGGAGAATATTCTTTCACAACTGATTCTCTCGCACAAAAAACTGTTGAGATAACTATGTTGCTTGAAACAGCTGAAATACACGTGTTGAAGAACTCAGGAGTTGTATGATATGCGAGGAATCATGAACTCACTCATCTTCTCACCTATCTCATCGAAGAAGAAATTAGAAGTAATATCGATTTGTAGAGAAAGAACTGGTTTGCATTTCGAATTCGTGGATAAGAGAACTCTAGACGAGTTTAAGTGATCCGATTGTTTCAATAGGTTGAAGTCGGAACATTCACACACACGGGAGCAGAGAAGCATCTTTCAGAAAAGGGTCAGCAAATCCATCAGATGAGCGCTACTTGTTATAAGTTGAGAAACAAAATTGCCGTAGTACTCGGAGAGTCAATACTACGGCGGTTGAGATTGGTTGAACTCATACTGCACGCGTAAAAGGAATTGACTAGCTTTCCCGCTCGCTGATAGAGGATAAAGGAGAGTTCAAATGCTTCTTTTTCTAGATTGTCTCTTTTGATGGGAGATGATCATCACTAGTTCTACTGATGAATACTGCTATCACACGTACTCTCTTCTGTTAATTTACACAATCATGCATCTTTGATGAATATATTAGTAATTATTCTTTTTTTTATGAATCATTATACAAAATGAAATTGTTTGTTTAGAAAAGCCCAACTTCTCCGAATCAAAAAGTAAATCACCATCCTCTAACAAGAAACTTGATTGCTGCGGTTATTTATTTTCCAACTTCTCCAAATTAAAAAGTAAATCACGATACTCTAACAAGAAACTTGATTGTGAGGGACGTGCTTGTGTCGAATGTGGCCACTGCCGTGATTGGCACTGGCGTCCTGACGGTAATGAAAAGGATTATACAAAGCGTGGTGATGCAACTTGTACTTCTGATGGTTTTTCTCGTGGTTTTCGTCGTTATGATTATTATCATTTTATTTATTCTGTTTCTTATTTTGATGGTATTGATGTTATTGATAATCGTTTATGTCAATGTGACGATAATCGCTCTTAATTCTGGAACTTTAGTTTTGAGTGAGTTTGACTAATTTGCTTATCATTGATAGTTTTTTCATAAAACATCAATAGCTCCTGACCTAAGAGAGATGAAAACTTTTTCTTTTTACGGAACTGCAGCCACGATTCTACTCTATCAATGATATAAATTTCGTGAGTTGGCTGTTAGGAGTAATATTTCATTCCAATTGCCGCTGACAAGTAGACGGTCGAATGGAACATTCAATGGATCACGCTCATTTTGTTGATTGGATTGCAAGAATGTCTTGGGTTTTGAGGCAAGAGCATGGTAATATAGCATTTCAACTATTCGCTATATCTAAACCATTTTTATAAAAAATTGAGGATCTTCACCAAAGATTGCAATAATCATTGATAATGCCACCTGGCATAATCGTTTAACCGATGACACAATGCCTCCTAAAAGAGCATGGAACAAACAAATAATAATTCAATGGTTAAACTTTCATCAATTGAATTATTCAAATAGTGCAACTAAAGCTGAATTGCTCGAGATTGCATTTGAAAATGTTCCAGCAAAGAAATATCTCGTAGATGAAGCGGCACAGATCTACAATGTTGATATTATTAGGTAATACAGTTAATTGGTATAAAAGTTTTGCCGTCGTAGGATTCTTTTTCAAAGGTTACCTGTGAAACATTGTTCGTTAAATTCTATTGAATTAGGCTGGGCTGGAATGAAAGCATATATACGCGATAATAACACAAATTTTTGTTTGCCCGATGTTGAACGATTAGCTTCAGAGTGGATTGCTGCGGTAGATGAAGCTACCGCCCAAAGTTATATTGCTCATGCTCATCAACATGAGCTGGTTTTTAAACAAACCGATGCATTTGCTGAAGAAGTGGAAGACCAGTTGATTGATGACGAGGATGAAGATCAACTTACATCTTATGAATCTGATGATGAAACTAATATGACCATCATTTTCCTATTATTTTTAGAATAAAACTGATGGATTAATGAATTTTCATTTATTGTTGCGAAATTTGCTGTGATAAATGCCTCTATTTCAGTACTGCTTTTGTCGTAATGACACTAGTGATCATCAGTCAAACATTAAAAATGATACCATGATATTCAGCATAGTCGAAAAGCTACTTTTTCATTAGTTTGAGCGTCTTAAGGCAGAAAAAAGTGCGGTAGGTAGGTCAAAAACTACGCATTTTAGGGCTTCCGGTGCATCAAGTCCAGTTTCTCGTCAGAAGATCAGAAAAATGTCGGGTTTGTTTTATTCGATAGAAAAAGGTGTGGGCTATCAACTGACATCATCAGAAAACTGCACTGAACGACTTTGCTTTAGATTTTGTCGTATGGCGAACGGTATCTCGATACGTCGAGATGCAACTTGGAAACCACAAATGGTTTTTCTCGTAGATCATCAGACGTAGTTTTTCTTTGCTTGGAATGAAGGGCCTAAACAAAACCAAAATCTGCTCGGCTCAATTGTCGACAACCCTGCCACTGACTTTGTTATTCGTGGTCATGGGTATAGTGTATTTATTTATTGAGATATTTCATTAAAGACCTTCATCTACAACTAGAAATATTGTACACTGCTTCCACTCGTATTTTTCGTTTGCTGTTGCTGCTGCTAGGAGGAGTGACAAAGAGAACAGGGTGAAGTGAGTGACTCTTTAAAAAAAGAAGATAAGGTTTACACGTGCGTTAGGAGGATTGTGTCCCTAAACAGCAAACTTGGAGTTTCGTTAAGAAAAACTTCGCCAGAAAGTCGAGCATTTTCGAGGGAGGGCGGAAAACGGCAAAAAATAGATTTTGCTAGAAGTATTTTTATAAAATTCTACATGCAAAAACAACTATGTGACTTTGGTTCGGACCGTCCAGAAACGTATGCTTGATTTTTACCAAGAATTTACGAAAGGAGCACCAGAAAAAAGTACCGTTTTCCGGTATAAACTTATTTTGATGATAACTTTTTCGGTTATGAACAGATTCTTTCGAGCAACCTCTCATTCGGAAGAGCTCGTGAAACTGCATCTACCGATGTGCTTTGAGGCCACTTCAATTGAATCTTGCCTCTCCTCCTTCGTCGCTCAGAAGATAAGAATGCAAGTAATTTGTGCCATAAACGAAAATGACTCAGCCAGCTGTCAGGCGTGTGGTGAAATTTTATGGTTGAAGACACCAGAGAGAATTATTTTCTCGAAGTGCATGTTTGGTAGATATAGATTAAAGTAGGTAGCAAACCAAAAGCCATTGGTTGGCTACAAATCTTACGTTTTCAAACAAATTTTATAGTTAAAAAGGTATATAGTGAAGGGCAAAGTTTTCGTATTTTTGCGCGGATGCAGTTAGCGTTTGAGAGCATTTATCCGTTCCGGGATAAAGCAAGAGTCTCCACGGGGATGTTCCATTTACAACCTTGAAAACTATTCTGACATATATAATTAACTGTGTTTTATCACCCACCTGCTTCGACACAATCAGGAGGGAAAAAAGGTTTTATCGAAAGAAACTCAGAGAAAAACATGACAAATGGAAGATGAATCGTTAGCTATTATATCTGCTCCCATTCTGAGAGCTCGTTCGCTGCCTCGTTGAGTATTCAGAGACAATGCAGTAGAGAATTGCACCATCGTGCTCTTTTTCTTCATCGCACAACGACAGTTCTTTAAACGCCATAAAGGTTTTTTCTTCCTCCTAACGCACGTGTAAACCTTATCTTTTTTTAAAGAGTCACTCACTTCACCCTGTTCTCTTTGTTACTCCTCCTAGCAGCAGCAACAGCAAACGAAAAATACGAGTGGAAGCAGTGTACAAGGTGAGGCGGCATACTGCCATATTGTATTGACTTCTACTCCTGATAGGCTCAGGAAATGCAGAATAAAGTGTTTTGACTAAGTAGTTTTAAACGTAAGATGTATTACCAAGTTTTACTTCTCGACAATTTGAGAGCTAAATGCCAACAAAACCTTACGTTACACCTTCCGTAATGTCGGTCTGCATAGACTACGGAATAAATATAAACTTCTCCTTTGTTTCAAATCGGCGCTGAGAGATTAGCACTCGAATCTTTTCTCCTTCATTCTGTCATCCATTTCAGCTGCTCCTCGTGTGTGTGTGCCGCTTTGTGTTCTTCCCGCCTCGTTTTTGGTTACATCTGAGAGTGTGTGTGACTGCAAAAAAGGATGCATTTGATTATGATCACTTTTGTTTGTCTATCTTTTGCCTTACAGCGATGGACTCTATAAAAGCAATTTGGGACGTCGTCTCGACGATCTACACAGTGGCAACGAAAATTCACACCACGGTTACGACAGTGCAAGCTAACAATCACCAGTGTACTCGTCTCGATCAACGCATTCAGATGATTGTGAATAGCATCAAAGGGATTGTTAACATCCACCCCCGAATGGAAAAACATCTTCTTCGGCTTAAAAATTCTGTACAAGAATGTGCAGAGTTGATTGATAAGTTTACTGGTTCTTACTGGATTAGCCAAATGTTCTTCCACGGATCATATGAAAAAGACTTCGAGCGACTGAACAAGGAATTATCTCAATGTGTTTCCGATCTTCAACTTGAGCTTGACATTCAACAGCTTTTCAATCATACCCAAGATGCAATTGATCGTCAACACGATATGGCTGCTCTTTCCTTGAAACTTGATAAAATGGCACAAAAAATGACTGAAAATCACGAGGAAGTTAAACAAGAATTTAAGGATGTAAAGAACATGATCGCAGATTTACAAAGAGCAAACACAGGTCAGTCAGAGTCTCTTGTCTGAAGGTCTATAGGGCAAGAGGATCATACAGCTGGTTTCAAAAACCAAACTGAGACCTACGTTTAATTCTCGTGCAGCAACTACTTGAAATCTTCATCCTAAATCAAGCATCGTTCTCTTGGACAGTGTTGGAAAGAGCTGACACGAAGGTACGACTTTATTTTCAGTCTTCGAAGACAAGAAGAAGAAAAAAATATCACTCTTAATGATGATGTTCAAGAAAAAAGAAAAAACATTTCAAGCATAACTGAGTAGCATTCCACTCAGCAGAGAGAAAACCTGGGTTAAAAATGAACTAGCAATTGAACATGAAAAGGCCTTACACTCTACTATACTAGGCAAAGTTAGAAGAAAAAAAAATTTCAGTTTTCTCATAGTAGCTGTGAAGATGCACTTCGTGAAAAACAGAAGAAGAAAGAGCGAATGGGTCAGGATATTTTTAAATGCTCTCCTATGACGCTTGATTATTTCATCTAGCTTCTCAAATTGCACCACCGTTCGAACCAAAGTCAGTTACGAAAGAAGAAAAGCGATCATCGTCAGTGGGTGTTTCAAGCAGGCCAGCAGTCAACAAGTATCCGATGGATGCGAATAAGGAGGTGGGAGAAAAAATAGAGGATCCTCGAGCCAGACAGAGTAAGTCCGCACAATTTTAACCTTTTTGTCGTATCAACTTCTGACAAAAATCTACCATGCATTGATTTAAAAAGTTTTCATAGACTAGACAGTGTGGTTTATTTCGTAAAACTTGGCGTTCGTTCATCCACGCACCGGTTCTCAGGAAAGCTACAGCACAATTGGGGAATTACCACTTGGGGGATATCTACATCACCAGCCGTTTTGGTTAGAAACACCAAGCGAATAATTGATCGAACAGTTCTTTGAACATTCTTTCCCGATGGATAGTGTGAGCGCTTCGTTCAAATCAATTCACTGCTGGTTATTTCCATGGGATCTCTCAAGGTTTTTCGGAATCTCTTTCAAACTACGTAAGATATATATTGCCTTGTAGAGTGTTGAATGCTGATTCCATTATAGAAATAAACCGTTGGAAAATATGTTACGGAGGTAACAAAAAATGCATCCTAAAAGTAAAGTGTCCATTTTCTCTCTTGTTTCACTTTCCCAATTAATTCCCTTTTCAAATATAAATAGTATGGACCTTGTAATGTAAGAAAATGGTGGAACGAAAATTCTACATTGGCTCCTTGATTGAGGGTTAGGTGAGCCATGTGCATAGTACTATGAAAAGCTGACGAACTGTTCTCCTAGAATAAGTATTCCGGCATATAATGAGACAGCAGGCATTATAGAGCAGCGCTTATATTACAAGCACACATGTATCACACATTCTACGGATGGTAGAGGTTTTGTAGAGTAGGGCCCTTCGGTACATGGGTCAGTAGGTCTCACCTAGTCACATCATCTCATTTGATATGAATATGATAATCTATTCATATTCTTCTCATCACGAGCATTCGAAATAACTATAGTTTATCGGATCTTTGACTTCTCCTTCAAGAGATAATTTTTGCCATTCTGTAGTAGGTCATATGTCCCCACCTGTAACCAATTTTGCCATTTTTCCCGAAGTCACTTGTAGCATCATTTTAAATACCCAGAAGTATTCCCCATATCGAATTACGTCACTCTTATTAAACACGTCGCCGGGACTTCTCGAACGAGAAATCGAAAAATTGGCTACAGGTGGGGACATATGACCTACTACAGAATGGCAAAAATTATCTCTTGAAGGAGAAGTCAA